GGTTGGAAGGACCAATGTAAGGGTGGGGTCCATGGTTATGGAAAGTATACTCACTATGAGAAGGGCAATCCTGCTTTTGATTGGCCAAGAAAGTCTTGCTCTGAACATTCCTGTACTGTTTTGTTCCTGGAGAACGTGAGACTTTAGGTAGATGTGATATGCTTAGATGTCTGCACTTTGTTCATGTTGTTGAACATCTTTAATATGGCTTATAGCACATTTTGCTGCAAAACCATTTTAAGTATTGGCTTCTGATTTTTGATCTGTTTACTGAAATTTTTCTTCAGTACTTCAGGAGTAAAAGGAAAAGTTGTTTTGCTGGCCAAGTGTATGTCGGTGACTCATGAATTCTCTTTTGTTCTGTGCACTTCTGAATGTTGTTTAGTTTTAAGGTATAAATCCAGCAAGGATTTTAATTTTCTTTTCTTTTCTTCTTGTACAAATTATAATTCTTTTGTTTGATTTTTGGCAGTCAGCGGGTGGAGGGGGCACTTTCAGAGTAACCTTTGAACATTGGTATGTAGAAAAAGCAGATAACATCCCCAAATATAAAGTTAGATTTAGGATTGGATATTCTACTTTTTTTTTTCCTGTAGAAACTCTTGACAGTAGAACAAAGCTCTCAGGTTCCCTCAGTGGATAGTCTTCCTGTGTTGATGTTTCTCCATCAGGGGATTGTGCACAACATAAAAGCGTAGGTTAAGACTAACAGAGTAAATAAAATATGAATAGTTACAGGCTATTTTCTTTTAATGGTGAACAATTGCTAGCCTTACCCAATCGCTCTAAAATTTGAATTCCCCAGCTCTACTTTCCATAAGTTTATTGTTTTAAAAAGCAGCAAGATTTCCTCATCTGGAGAAAATTGTGCCCATAATGCATCCAAGGAAGAAAAGAAAGAAGGCAGGAAACTGAAGAATGCCTAAATGTTTGGGATGAGACGGGGAGGAGACAGAGCTTCACTGAATAGATGACAAGAATTGTGGCTACTCACAGGTCCCAACTATATGATTGTTCACCTGAATTGTTGAGGAAGAGAAAATGGCTTTGGACCAGGGGTGAAATGTAAAATTTGTTAGTATTGGTTCTGTGGGCATGGCTTGGTGGGGTGGGGGGTAATTTGACTGGGTGGGTGTGGCAACTTTTTTTTTTTAACTTTTCAAAGCATTTGAATGCTGATCAGGCAACTCAGCTGGGATCGTCAGAGACTTTTCAAAGCATTTTTTTTACCACCTCTTCGGCCAAGAGGTTCCTGAAAAAAATGCTTTGAAAAGCCTCTGATGATCCAGCTGAGCCGCGCGATCATCAGAGGCTTTTTTTTTTTACTTTTAAAAGCATTTTTTTGGTCGGAAGAGGTGGTAGAAAAAATGCTTTTAAAAGTACAAAAAAAAAAAAAAAGCCTCTGATGATCGTGCGGCTCAGCTGTCCATGGGTGGGGGGGATGGATTTTTGCTATTAGTTCTCTGAACCACCCGCCGCCATCTCTACTGAACCCGGAGCATTTCACCCCTGCTTTGGACCAACAAACAGACTGCTGATTTTTTTCATCACTAAAAGTTATTTTCCTACCAGGTTTCTTAAGTAAAGAAACCTGGGTAATTCCATCAATCCCAATGGAAGACAGGAGTCTACTTCGGCTGACTTTGCTCATCTGCTTTAATTGTAGGAAGAACCAGCTTCCTTAAAATGAAGTGTGCTGCTCTTGCTGTTATCTTGACTATTGACTATGCCCCTTCCCTCTCCTTCAGACACTCCTAAAAATCATGTCAGAATGACCAAAATGAGATGCCCACAACTTTCTAGGGCTCCTAGTTTTCCTGGTTAGTAATTTCCCATTTTATAGGAAAATGGTTCCTTGTTAAAAATGTCATTGCCAATTCAGTTAGAACTCCACACATTTTTTAAAAGATCTTTGCTTTAGACCAGGAATGCTGTCGGCTCAAACCAGGATTAAGAGGCTGGACAGAAGGTTGGTGTCTTACTTTGTATTTCATAAAGGAATCTGTTGCTTCCAGTGCAATGGTCCATCACAAGTGCTGAAATAATATCCAGGAAGTGCTTGATAACAAAGCCCGTCAGATCTGCCATCTTTATCTTAGCACTTTGCTGGCAACGTGTCATAAATTGTTAGAGGAAGGTGGGGGGAGAGGAAGTAGGCAATTAGCATATAGAGGGTACAGATGAGCAAGGGGAGAAGAGGGAGTGGCAAGTTTGATGGAAGCCAGAGATGTAAGAACCAGCCTGTTCCAGTCTTCAAGGCCACGGAGCCTGAGATAGGAATGCAAAATGCACCAAGTGGCACCAAACATTCGAGCTGTTCCCAAAACACCTATGTGGCATACCATTCGATGAAGACAGACTGGTCAGGAGTGAGGGGCAGAGAGAAGGGGAAATTCTGTAACACTTTGTGTGGGAGCGTCAGTTCTGGTCTTGGTTTTGCTGCAACCACTAATCCTTGGTAAAAGAACCTATCACTTCAACCAAATGGAGTCGAGGGTCTTTCTTTCCTAGGGACCTATCTAGGGCAGGTCTGACAAAGCCATTGGCATTTGGCTAGGGATAGCTTTTTCCATTGTAACATCACTATTGAAGAAAAATCAGATTAAACAGAATAGTTTCATGTACATTTTCTGTTACAATCAAGTCCTTAGTTTGGGTCTTTGTTGCTCTCTGAGCTCGGCTGTTTCTTTGCAGACGTTTCATTATCCAACTAGTTAAGACCTTTGGCTTTTTTCTTTTTTCTTTTTGCTTACAGCCTTTGAGCTTCTCCTATATGTCTGCTTTCTTCCTGGCATCAACATGCGGTTAGTCCCAGCCTTAAATCACCTTATTTTATGGCTTGCCATTTATTAGACTGGTATGCAGCTGTTTGCTCAGCTGAATCCCTCAAATAAGCTGTGTAGCTTTACGATCCTGGCATTTAAGCTGTGCACTTATTGCCATCCAGCTTCCAGGCAGGCTTGATCAACTTTTAATTGAAGTATTTAATATCTTCTCTTAGTTTTTAGTAATTTCCAGGGTGTGTTGTTTTTTTAAATGTTCTCTGTAGAATACATTAATTAAATTTCCTTTATTGCATCTTTGAAAAAGCAAACAGCTAATGGATACAGGAGAGATCAGTTGTTGTGCACTTAGATTAGAAGTTATTTTCATAAAATAGAATCTTTCCGTTTCAGAATATATTTTGCATGAGCTGCAGTGTAATTCTTGGAAAAAGTAGAAAAATCTGATTGCTGTCCATGGTGCAGCTTCAGTCTACTCTAGGGGCAAACCTGTTGCTCCGTGTAATGTGTGCAGATGATAAAAAGAAATAAAACATCCAGCAGAATTCTACTTGGGAAGAATGACCAGCACACCCTCAACCAAACATGGACTTATTCAACAGGAAAGAAGACCTTCTAAAGGTCAGGTAAAAGTACTTTAATTAGAATTAATTAATTAACCTTAGGCATTAATCTAAGGCAACCAAGCTTGCACAAAAACTTTTCAGGATATAAATATTGTTCCTGCTCGTTTATCAAACCTAATTGTCAGACTTATTGGCATGATACAAATAAATTCAGGTGAAAACCTAAAAAGTGATCACGAATGGAAACTTTGTGTAATGTCCAATGTTAACAAATGTTAGGAGCGGTCATTCAGGAACATCTAGAAGCCCTAGGTTCCCTACAGTACTTTATAAGATACTTATAATTCTAAAATAGTTCTTCTTCCAGTCACATGACAACTATTTTATCTGTGTGCAGGGCTGTATAAGAGGACCTTGTACACCTCTTGTTGTGGTTAATTCCCCTAAGAAACTGCAGAGTGATTGGACTCCCACCCAAGTCATTTAAATGATTTCTAAGCACATGGAACTTTCCTATGGTTGAGTATGACTATGCCATGTCTTGGAGTACATCTGAAAAAGAGGGGAGAAATGTTTGGAAGGAACTGGGAATGGTTCGACGTTCTGATGCGAAGATGCTATTGGCTCTTTACTTACATGTGCTTCGTGCAGGTCAGTAGATCTCAGCCTCAACACATGAGCAAAGCTGCTTAGGGAATGGAGGGAAGAAGATTAAGAGAATTCCCAAGGCCTAAGAGAGACATATGTATAATGAATATACATTATACATATAGTGTAGTAGTGTAATCCATTAAAAAGCCTATAAGCTCTCCCATGGAGAGCAAAAAGGAACAGAGCAGCAGCTGGTTCTTCCCGTTTCCTGATTATTGGAAATAGAGTAGAGATACAAGTTTACAGGATGCATGACTTGACCAACCCACTGGCCTATCCTAACTCAAATCTACACTAAAACTCATAAATATTGCATTTGGTACCCTCTACATAGTTTGCTCTCTAATTCTCCAGGTTGAAACCTGGTTTTAAACTTCCCTTTAAGACATACATTGTTGATATTAGCATAGCTCAAAAAACTAAGCACAGTTAGACCAGGGAAGTTTTAAAATGATCCCTCCAAAAATAATAATAGGAAATCACTGACTTACTGTTGCCAAGAAAACCACCCAGCTAGAAAGCCTTTTAATTTTCTCTGCCCTTTAAAAGTGAAATCAAGGCTTTTTTTTTGGCAGGACAGAAGTGTTCATGCATGGAAATTAACAGCTATATGGGGCCTGCAGAACAGAGTATATATATTCCTGTTGAATCGAGGGATATATCTTGTACAATTGGAAGGAATGAAAACAACACTCAGCTTGGACTAAATCTCACTGATGTTAGTGAGATTCTAAGCAGATGTGAAAAGGGATTATTATATTGTCAACCACCAAAATTAAAGTCAGTTTCACTTACCCAAGAGACTAACAGAAGGCCAGCATACAAAACTTGAAATTCCCCTTGCAACCAGATCACCTGCCAAGACCAGGCCAATAACAATGTTTTTGAATTGCATTTGCTCTGTCCCTTTAAAGAGATACTTCCTTCTTTTTACTCTCAGTAATTGTCACAAAGGCACAGAAAAATAAAATAGCAAGCACAAATAAAAACTAACAAGGTGTTAGCTTGTACACTTAGAAACCTTTAATGGGCAAATAGTTATTTATTTTAAAAATAATAATAAATAATGCAGAATTATCTCCTGTATATTAAAAAAATGTCTGTACATAATTACACAATGTAACAAAGTACCTATCTACTTTCTTGAACACAGTTTTCATCTTTGGTTAGATTTTCAGTCAAGGACAGGACAAATAAGAACAATGCAATGATTCAGACCCAATTTCCAAAAGGTGCTTCAGTGTTTGCAACTGTGCAAATACAGCACTTGTCATGCAGGATCGTGCAGCTGTTTTCAATAATGTGAGATGGGAGCTAGTTTGTGCTCCTGTGTCTCCCAACCACCTTTTGGGAATCAATGCTGAAATGTTGCACAGCCTTCCTACGAATTTATACTTGATCTGTTTCTTCCAAGAACATGAAAATCAACCTTCCAGCATCCCTTGGGTTTTCAGCCATGCCTGTCAATATAACATGAAAAAAAAGGGAAATTTTAATATAGAGAGTAACATCTGCATGCAGGACACAGCAGAAAGAACTGTTGACAGTGACATTCTTCTTTCATCCTTTGAAACAGACAGTCATGTTGAGAAATAGCTCTGCAAAGTGCAAGAAGAAGAAAAACGACAACAGGAAAGGGATGAGGCATCTGAAAGCTTAAGATTCCCAGCAACCAGCGTCTAATGTCCTCCTGCATGTCAAGCAAAGGAGCTGTAGGTTGATCTGTTAATCCAGAGGGGCAACACTGCAGCTTTACTGTTCCAGGCAGATAACACATTCAAGTGTCTCAAGGTGCTGATGAGCTTCTACTTAGCTCTATAAAGTCTCTGCTGCTGATCTTCACCCTGTTGAACTTCAGAGCTCACACAACATACTGGTCCATAAAACACAGTTTACAAACCTTAATGGCTGGGTTTGACACCCTAAATCACAAGTCCACAAGTCACATTACTATGTAGAATGTTGTGGGAGCCCAGTCAATTAATCTTCTACTGAGAATCTGGAGACTAAACTTTTCCTTGCTATCCTGCCCTTCATTAGTCACTGTTCCTACTGCCATTACTATTTCAGCAAGCTGCTGAAGCTTATGTCATTTGTTCCTGGAAATGGCTTCCTCCTGATTTATCTTATGGCCCTGATTCTTTGGGACACTGAAATCATAGTAAATCCTGATCAACTCAGACACTTGAGTTGCTTTTACGTTCATTGTTCACTATCCCGGAATGAATGTCCCAGCTTGTGACAAATTGGGGTGAGAAATAAATGACCTAAGGAACACATCAATTGTTTTTCCTACTACATTATCAAGCTACGGAGGTGATTTGAATGTGCCTAAGTAAACACGCCACAAGATGCCAATTAGTTGGCTGGTATAGGTAAACTATTTGTTTCCTCAATTGTTTAAGTCCCCAAATAACTTTTCCTTCAAATCAGTAAGATCAGGGTATGAAAATCCTAATGAGAATGTCAGGAGATTAAAGCTAATGGGCTCTGACTAGTGAAAAATGAGTCTTCTCAACTGACTACTTTTCTTACAGTAGATCATTTTGATGGGGGTTGCAGGACATTGTATTGCATCAATTTCACCTTCAAGAATATTATTTATGTTCTTTGGCATCTACAGGCAGCCTAGGAAAAACAACACACAGCAATGCTTCCTTTTTGTTGTTGCATCACCAACAAAGCTCGTTATTAAAAATAATTGAGAAACAACCTCTCAGTTTTTGGTAAAGCAGAAATATAATTGCATTTTAGCACTTTTAGGTCAAACTTCAAGGTCTGGGGAAAAGACGTATATTGTTAGCACATAAGAAAAAGATGTGTGAATGACACATCACTTAGAACAAACACAAAGACAATCAAGCATGTTGCTTATCATTTGTTCATCACGTGCAAAGCATTATGACTTCCAAGCATCAATCAGAAGCAACAATAACTTTGTACCACTCCATGTCGCTCTATGTTATTGTTAAGCACACTTGAGCTGTTGGTGCCAATGTCAAGCCAATACAAGACAGCATTATGGCAACGCAGACAATATCAATCTGGCATTTAAGTTCCTGATGCATGAGCCTCTTGTGTCTTTCAGCATAGACCACTTGTTAGAAGCAGGACTCTTGGGATTCTGGATCATTGTGGATTGGGAGCTTGTCAGGTTCCAGGTGATGACCATTGTACAAGACTGTGTACCTATAAAAAGGGGGGAAATGACATTAGAAACCAATGAAAGAAATGCCTTGAGTGTCCCTGTATGAAGTTCTAGGCTGCATTTTCTTCATGAAGATCCTCTATGCTTCACTTTCCAAGAATCTGAAAATCCAAATTCAAAAGTAAATAGGCGGCTGCTCTTCTCGAGAGCCACTATCATGCAGTCTTTGGAATATGTTTTTTTATTGAGACTATGAGCTGAAATATCAAGAATATTAAACAAACAAACAGATATTGTTGTCTAATTTCCTTCTTTACTAATGTTACTAAATATACAACTCGGAATTTCTTTAACACTGCTTTGTAGCACTAGTCGATATTTCCTTGTGCTTTTTTCCCCAGAACGAATGAGCTTGAATTGCCTCTCCTTTTTCTGATAAGTGCAGCTTATCACAAATACACATAGGAGGACCTAATACATAATAATCAGAGATGCTAGAATTGAAGGGTTTTTCTCCCCTACAGGCTATGGATGAAAATGGACAGCTCTGTTATTCAGGAAAGCATATTTAAGATGAAATATGCACTGATCATTTAAGTGTTTCTCACTGCTATCTCAGATGCCCTCTTTTCTTCAGCACTTTCCACAGCATATAAAAATACGAAGGGCCACAGTATTCTCCATGGTATATCAAGAAGGTAACCCTTTCTGACCCAGGAATATTTTGTGATAGCTAGTTATGAATACAATAGTTGACAAACCCAAAAGCTTGATTTGATTTGTAAGTGATCCTGATTTTTTTCTTGTACTGTTCAGAGAATGTATGTGATGGGAAAGGGCATCGGGTTGTTAATATTGAAAAATGGAATTCTTCAATTTGGAGAAGTATCCTAGGACTTTGAGAAAGCAGGAGAAGTTCTTCAAAAATAGCAGATAGACTTTTCAGCCTTATTTTTAGATAGATCAGTCCATCTATTAAAAAGAATGTGAAAAAGAAGATCAAACAGCTCACAGAAACCCTCCATTTATGTATTAACTGATAAATGAAGACTTGGGTATAATTTAATTTCCAAGATGATCTAACCTAACCTTTCCCCCCCCAGCATTATACCTATTAATGACATTAGGCATGAACTTAGTTTGCTTGGCCATATTTACCATGCTGGAAACAATGTGCTTTCAGGCCTCCAAAGTCTACATATCTTCAGGTCCAAAGAAAAATTATTATATAGAAATAATGCTTGGAAGAGAAAAAGGTGATTTGGGGTACGCGGGGCCATTTCCATGCTGTTTGATTTAAGGAGATGGTATGATGTATGTTTGGAAATCCTTTTTCTCTTTTCTAGCTCAGATCTATGCTCAGTTCTAATGTAAAGAAACCCATCCTCTCCTAATAATAATAGTACTAGGAGAGACATTGCAAGTGCAATACAATGAACAATGAATCAAAATCACACAAAGTGTTAATACCTCTTTATACTGTTTTGGTAAGACCACATTTGGAATATTGCATCCAGTTTTGGTTGCCATAATATAAAAAAGATGTCAAGACTCTAGAAAGAGTACAGAGAAGAGCAACAAAGATGATTAGGGGACTAGAGGCTAAAACATATGAAGAACAGTTGCAGGAATTGGGTATGTCTATTTAATGAAAAGGAGGACTAGGGGTGACATGATAGCAGAGTTCCAATATTTAAGAGGCTACCACAAAGAAGAGGGGGTCAACCTGTTTTCCAAAGCACTTGAAAGCAGGACAGGAAGCAATGGATGGAAACTAATCAAGGAAAGACGCAACCTAGAACTAAGGAGAAATTTACTGATAGTAGAACAACAGGTCCTTTGTGGCAAAGAGAGGGAGTGATATACAATTCCTACATCTACACAATTTGCTATAGTCTTTTCTGAGATTCCCATCTATACATAGTCTGAGTTTCTGGGTGTCTGGATTTGACTATTTCACCTGGAAGTAGTTATGCTACCATCACCTCTTCTTAAGAGGAGAGTTGCCCCCTTACTGGAAGCGGGATAGGGGCAAAGAAACAAATTCTCCTTTTCTGTGAATAAAAGTTTAAATAAATGGATACACTTTTCCCATTGTGTTAGAAGGCCAGGCAGTTTGGAGCTGCATTGTGCTAATACAGACCTAACACTGGGAAACAAAAACTAAAATATTTTCTTTTCCATTTAGACAAAAACTAGCAAAGATTTCCGGAAACAGCCTTAGCTATCTAGCAAGCTGCATAAATTAACCTGTAAACAGACAGAGTAAACAAAGTCTATGTAACACAGGACTCAAACTGAGCCCAAGCAGCACTGACAAGATCTTGAAGGTGTTTGCCTACATTTTCTCTAGCAACTTTATCTTACTGGTTCCAGTTTTGCCAAACCCAACCAGGAAGGAAAAAAGGGGCTTCTACATTAATTTGATGCTTGCAGGACCTTCCTATCCAACTGAGATAACAGCTAACCCCCTGAATCCCTCCCCTTGCTACTCATGAGTTAGTGATAGGTTAGAGCTCCGTATCTTTCCCCTAGCATAAATACACACATGCACACATAAAAGCAGCACAGAATAACAATTTCAAAACATGCATGTGGTTATTAATTAGGGAAATTCACACATTTCAGAAAAGAAATCTAAATTGGGCATTCTCCCAGCTACACTTAAATCTCAAGTGAAGCATACGTACTCATGCTCCCAAACCCATGGTGACACCCAGCCCACATAGGCAGATATTCTGTATAGTTTCTCAACCTGGGCCACTTGAAGATGTGTGGACTTCAATTCGCAGAATTCTCCAGTCAGCCATGCTGGTTACCCAGAGAATTCTGGGTGGAGTTAAAGTTCACATCTTCAAGCGACCCAGGTTGAGAAACACTGCTATACAGTATATAGACAAATAAACTCTTTCACTTCAGTTTATCTCATCCTAACCAAGTTATTTTTTGTTATTTAAAAATGAAGTACATATAAATTCCCTTTGAATCAACTTAATTCCTTGTGACTTCTTGGACATGTGGTTTGCCTTCTACTGGGAGCTCCATGATTACTTGACACTTTCCTATTCAAGTATTAAGTGCACCTGATTTTCCTTTTTCCAAATCAGTCAAGATCAGTTAGAAGCTGCCACCTGCTGAGCCTGTCGCTTCTTGTAATTCTTACTTCAAAGAATGTCTCTGCAGTCTCCATGAGCATCCCTGTTAAAATGTCTTTAATGTATGGTGAAAAAACAACAGCCAAGTTAGAAAAGTAGTAAAAAATAAGCCACTTGAAAGTAAAAAGCAAATGTGATAAAATCTTTATTTTCCTTATTTAGTCACAGGGTACTTCCAGCAAGCAGCATGTATTAGAAGGCCTTATGAGGCAGTAATCTATAAAGGTAAGTATCAACCTTTCTCCCCAGGAATTTCCTCTCAGAAGAAACATACTGTTTTAGACTAAAATGTTGCCTCAATGCAAGTTTGCTATTAACATCATGAGGTTCACAGCCACAGTTCTGCAGCCAGCGAAGTATATTTTCCATTAAATGAAATTTTCACAGTGCCCTCTGGCTTCTAACCCGACTCCACTGTCATTTTAACCATTTCCTAGCAAATCAAAACACATGCATCAATTGCAATTAGCTTCCAACCTGCTGGTATTTGGGCAAGTAGTTTGCTTCAAATCTGCTGATATTTGGGCATGATTTATCATTCACTCTCCTTCCTACATTATTTCAGGAATATGTCATGGGTCACAGCTATTCTGAACAATGTTTAAATGCAGCTGTAGCACCATAATGTCATTTGTGCATCTGCTCAATTTTTTTCTAGCCAGCTTTGCTTTTATGTTGTCATGGCAATGGTGCCACTGCATTTGGAGGCACATATTTACATCGCGTACAATTACTCTTCTCCCATGCCTATACAGTCAACTCTCAGAAGAGTTTGTTTTCACTGGAAACAAAACAAATGATAGAACCAAGGTTTGTGGGAACAGAGCTGCTAGCACTTCTGGAATTTTAGTGAGATAAATTGTTGTGCGGCCCGATTTTTCTTTTTCTTTTAACTCATTAGGCAGATTTTATTGGGCCTTCTAACAAAGGTGAGCAAAAGAAGTTACATTTCTAGAAGCCTACTCATTAGAAGAAGACTCAGAAGTCTTCTTTTTACAGACACACATATAATAAACAAAGGTCTACAAAACATTGTGTTCATGGCCAGATTTCCCTACTGGAAATTAATTTGGAAAAAGATATTTGGCTGTTCTCAACCCACCTGAAGCCCCTTTGAAGCAAGGGAGGGCAGAGACAGATTTTCGGTTCTCAGGCTTGCCCTTAGTGCATCTCCATCTCATTTTTTTCAGCAGCAGAGCCTGTGGTGTGGTGTGGTTTTGAAATTCCTGATAGGATTTGTAGCAGCCGTGATAATTCTGCGAACTCCAGGCTGCAAAGCTCTCCTGGAACTGGCTGGCCAATTTTTCCTACTTTTATTTTCATCTAAGAAAAAGGATTATAAGGTCTGCCCCACAACAATGACTCCCATGCTGCTGGAGATTTCAGTGCTATCCTATTTTTTTGAAGCCCAACTTCCTACTCATCCCAGCCTAGCCTTAATCCCAATCCTTATACAGCTAGTCCTCAATTTATGCCCACAACTGAGCGAACTTTCTGTTCCTAAGTGAGATAGTTAAGGGAGTTTTGCCCCATTTTATGACCTTCCTTATCAAAGTTGTTAAGTGAATCACAGCAGTTGTTGTTAGCAACACGGTTGTTAAGTGAATCTAGCTTCCCCATTGACTTTATTTGTCAAAAGGTCACAAAAGGCAATCACATGAATCCAGCACACTGCAACGGTCATAAACATGAGTCAGCTGCTAAAATCTAAATTTTGATCACATGATGCTGCAACGGTTGTAAGTGTGAAAAATGGTCATAAGTCATTTTTTCCAGTGCCATTGTAACTTCAAACAGTCATTAAACGAATTCTAAGTCAAAGACTACCTATATATCCCTAGCTCCCAAATGAACCTATAATACTGTTACTTTTATCAGCCCTGATT